TCAGAATGGAATGCAGCGTTATTTATTAAGGAACAAATCAAGAATGAGTCACTGAATCATTCACTCAAGCGATTTGTCAAAACACAGAATGATTCAACATGCAACAAACCACCACTACTGTGCGTGCTCGCAGACGTGCATTCAGCTTGGAAATATTTTTGTTGGTGTCGCAAAACTAGACAATAACTGACTTTGAGTCACTGAGATAAGTTGATTCAATAAGTTTATTGAAATGATGTATAAAAACACTATGCATAAAAAGCATGCAGTGTGTTATGGCTCCTACCAGCAGGGGCTATCAAGGCAACTCTTACCCTTTGTCAATTGCATCATAAATTCATCTTTATCGTGTCATTGTTTTCATGAACGAAACCCTATCGTCTCACTGCCTATTTCTTCCATTCTATCTATCTACCTCATTGGTCTAGGACAGGGGTAGGCAAATTCGGTCCTAGAGAGCCTCAGTCCTGCAGAGTTCAGCTCCAATCCTAATCAGACACACCTGAACAAGCTAATCAATGTCTTCAGGATTACTAAAGCTATAGGCAGGTGAGTTTTTTTTCAGGGTTGGAGCTGAACTCTGCAGGACTGCAGCTCTCTAGGACCGAACTTGCCTACCTCTGGTCTAGGACGATCTGTATGTCTTCTCTGGGCTTTGAATGATTCTGTCTGGATCGGTCATGCTCAGTTGTGTAATCCCTCTCTCCGTTGAGAAATGCATCTTTATCTCGCTTCTCCAGTGTGTGTGTATGGGTGTATCCTTCTGCAGGTTCCTGCAGCATTTGTCAGCATGTGCTAGCCTTTCCGCTGAACAGAGCACTTTGAGCTGCTTTTGTAAGACAATATGCTGTCATAGCCAAGACATATGCATTATAGATTACCTTTCACAAATAGACAGACAGAAAGAGAGGTGGAAAAAAGAGTTCATAAAACTTCACATTTCTCCCTTTCTTTGCATTAGGTATTGAAAGTTGTATGAATGACAGACGAATTAAATCTATTGAAAATAATGAGCTGATTATGAAACTTTCATTTATAATGTCTGAATTAATCATTTCTATCTGGGAATGTCACAATCTGCAGTATTTGATAGCATGCACTAAGGAAACAAGGAAAGGATTCACTAAATGAATGATTTAGCTAATGAATGAATGCACAAATGAACACCTTAAAATTGACTATGAATTGTTTTAACTGCTCAGTGTGCTCATTTGCCTCAACTTAACCTCAATAACTCAAAATGATAAACTGGGGCAACAGATTGTGAGAGTAAGATTTTCTGTTCAATGTTAGAACATTTTGACAAACATGCATGATGATACAGAAGAAGCTACTTTTGTTTTTATCTAGTTACTTAAATATTAAGAAGGGAAGATAGAACAGGACGTGATGGAGTGAAGTGGTGGAATGGGATTGGGAAATGTTGCACACCAGATTCGAACTGGCATCACCCACACCAGTGCCACAGCTCAGTGTCAGACCACTAAGTCATAAATGTAACATTCACATGTTCACAAAAGGCATTGTGACATGACATTTTGATGAGAAAAAATTATATAAAATACTTTGGTTGAGTTCTTTTATTAGCTAGGTGACCTTTAAAATGTATTTAAATCCTACTTCATGATTAAGCAGACAACGCAACTCCATATTCACATATTCTGAGCTGCGTTGTAAGGCAAAACTCTACCCTGAACTCAGAGACCTCAACCAAACTGGCCAAATATGGAGCCCTCTAATTTAAAGCTCTAAAATAAGCAAATAACATCTAATTACCCACATGAAAAGATATTCTATTTTGATTATATTGTGGTGGGTCACCATTTGCTCAAAATTCTGGAAGTTAAGTTGCGGTGAGGGCCTCAGGTGGAATAAGCTGATCCACAGGTGCTGCAACAGAATACGTAGCCTATTACTATTCATGAGGCAACATGTATGCTTTCTCTGCCTAGAGACCTGTCCATCTCATCTCTGCTCAACAAAACACAAACTGTGATAACACAATTATCAGTTTTTAATTAAACCAACATCAACAGAGCGTACACCATGAGCAAAGAAAGACAAAGTGTGCCTGAGAGAGCTTGTGCATGAATGTACGTGTGTGTATTTTGCCAGCCAGATACTTGTGGGTGTGATGAACCCATAGGAAAGAAAAATCTCAGTTGTATCTCCTAGACAGCTATGAGATTTAAATTGAGGAACAATTCCAATAAAATGAACATTCTATCATCATTTACTCACCCTCATGTCATTCCAAACACATATGACTTATTTATTAAGATATTTTGAAAAATTCTGCAGTGTTTTTGGAAAGTCAGGTGACTCCACTGACTTCCATTATATGGACGAAAATGGTTCTGTTGTGTTCAACAGAAGAAAAAAGTTATATAGGGTTGGAATGACATGAGGGTGAGTAAATGATGACAGAATATCCATTTTTGAGTGAACTATCCCTTTATACTGTTAATGTTGATACTTTAAAGAAATATATACAAATCTGAAAACATCCGAGTAATAATATTTTCCTCTGGTTTGAGAGAATAGTCACCTGGACCTAGACATGCATCTTTTGTGGGCGACATAATGACCTGTTAATCTCATAATTTGTGCCTTGTCATACAGTGATGTCACTATGGAAGATATTATTTCAAAGAATCAATCTGTCAGATGATACGTGACAGCGAGCAAGCGTGAGAAAGACGGAGACGTATAGAGAATGACAGCGATATCGGGATTCAAGTCCTTGACTGAACTGCAAAAGTGCTGACACGCGTGCCACATCTGAAGCGTCTATCAGTCTGCCTGGATCACAACTGAGATAAACTAGCTTTCGGTCTCTAATGACTGAGTAAATGTGGCATCCCTGTGATAAAACATGACGTGCCGCTATGCCACACAGGAGTGAGTGATTTCAGTCTCACAACTTCATTACAAAACCAAGGACACGCTCGCAGCCGGGCACATACCTCCTCACCTCAGGCCTACACAACTATAAACGCCCCTGCCAGCTTGCTCTGACAGCCCTGACAGAAGAGAGGGTCACAAGTCATTCGGCCAGGCATAAAATACAATCAACCTGCCACTGAAATGTATAGAACTAATCTCTCTCGGGCCCCTATTTCATCCAGGGGCTCACAGCCAAGTGAAACAAGCGGCAGTATCTTTACTGAGAGAGCAGTGAATTTTCAGTGCAATTTTCACAATGAAAAAGTCACATTTTGCTTCTGCTGCCCTGGCCAGAGTTTGAGCTTGTGAACTAACACCGATGCTACTGACATAAAATTAAGCTCCTTTTTTTTTTAAAGATGCACTGGAATAAAAAAAATAACCAAATACTGGATGGCTGCACGAAACAGTTTTAGCTGCACTGCTCGGCACTGCACAGCATCCAAAATGTCTTTATCAGCTTCATGTTTACATTCTGATTTACTGCAGAAGGTTTTCTTGTAGCTTACTTTGCAACTTTGATAAGAGGGAAGGCGAAATGTTCTGCCTCGATGAGCATCTTAGTAAGGCTGTTCGAAGTCAAAAACTTCAGACGAAAGATAACGGTTGCCTGCACACTGCACAGCTTATTTGCACCTGTTTTCGTAACTCCTGGAATAAACTGGGAATCAAATATTTTGGAATCACACAAAATCCTAAACTTCAACCATCACAGAAAGTTCCTGTGGTTTCCAGAATACTACATTTAAGGTTCAATATGTAAAATATTATAAAACTGTGGTACTTGGTATTAAAGTGGTACCGTCATTAAAAAATACTATATTTTAACAGGAAGATCATGAAAACTTTCATGAAAAACATATACTGCTTGAAGATACCATATTCATTATTTTAAACATGAATTATGCAGTAGTAGGGCAATAACTTATGGTGAAACTGTGAATGTTAAAGTAACAGTTCAACCCAAAAAAAAAACATTGTTTTATCATTTACTCGTCCACGTTGTTCCAAACCCTGATCACTTTCTTCTGTGAAACACAAACTTTGATGCTAGACTGGATGACTGCCTCATGCACCATCTACGTTCACTGTATGGAAAAAAGACCCAGTTGAAGTGAATGGGGACTGAGGATCATATAGTGCACAAAATATTTTTCCAAAAAAGAAAGTCATAGGAGTTTCAACACCATAAACTTATTCTTTGTTCAACGTATTCTTTACACTATTTATAAAGGTCATGATTTTATGAAATATCACACCATGCCCTTTAAGGCAGCTTAGAGTTACACTATTATACACGACTGACTCCTATTGGCTTAGATGAGTCCTTTTACACGCCAGAATTAACGCGGAACTAGATCCGGGGGAAAGTCGTAAACCTCCCCGAGACTCGTGTTTTTAACAAACGTGCTGAAGTCCACGAACATTCATTTGAGTCCAACTGCATTATTACCAATCTTGCGTCAGCCTAGAGCTTGCAAAACTTGGGGCTTTGAGCAAAAGCTTGTTTTTCCGGTCGCAGAGAAAATTATACAATTATGTATTATTATTGGTTTTTACACAGTCACTGTACTCGTGTCATATTGACCGTTGTTTAAGTGATTTGTTTGTCTGTCAGCATGGCATCACCTTCAAATAATGAATGAAAACTATTGTCTTACCTAAAGCAGCAAAATCCAATGCTTGCACCTTCCATCATACTCATTAAAGACAATATCAGGACTGTATGAAATAAGCAAATCAGATTTAGATAGAGTCAAAATTCTGGTTAGCTCAACCTTTAGACATTCATCACACAATACACAAATTTGCACTGTATAGCAACAAACAGGTGTTTAGGAAGCTGCTGTGATGGTGTTTGATGCTATGTAGTGTTTTTTTTTTTATTTGGGGGCGGCGACGACCCTTTTAGATTATTTTAGCCTTGTTATACTGTATGAGTTTTATACTAATATAAAAATGACTTTATCCATATAAATAGCAATAATAAAACATTGTAAAGTTTAATCATCATTACTGTTTTTATTTCATGTCATATTTTTTGCTCCTTATAGTTGCCACAAGTTGCAGGAATCAATGCTGAGTTCTGCGAGCGGCTTCAAAAATTACAGAGGCATCCTGAACTGGTGTGTGGTAATGCTGGTGAGTCTGAAACAGTCACACACGCTGAAACCTGGTGCACTGCATGCTTGGACTTGCCTACTCATTCTTCTAGTTAAACTGTGTCCCAGATATCAGTGTAGGTTGTAAACATTCCCTCTCGCTCAGAGGTGCTTCCAGAGATTACTAATAATTTTTATTGCCTCTCATGTTAGGTAGTTACAGAGAAAAGGAGGTTAAATATTATGTTATGGTTTAAAAGAAGCCAACTTGTTGCTCAGACATCCATTGTCAGATCATTGGATAATTTAAATGTGTATTGTTTCTGAGAGTATACTGTGTTCATACACAGTCACATGGAAAAGTTTGGCTTTCTGTCTGAAATGAAGTAGAAGCATTAGAGCTTAATGAAGCTAAAATATCTCCATTTGGACTTTGGAATATATTTGGACTTTGAACTCTCAAACTACTTAAAGGCATAGTTAAATCGAAAAGAGAAAAACTACTGAAAATGTAAGCAAAACTAACTCAACCAAGCTGTAGATGAGTTACTTTTCTTCATTGGAACAGATTTGGAGAATTTTAGCATTACATCACTTGCTCACCAGTGGATCCTCTGCTGTGAATGGGTGCCGTCAGAATGAGAGTCCAAACAACTGAAAAAGCATCACAATAATCCACAAGAAATCCACACAACTCCAATCCATAGATTAGCATCTTGTGATAAAATGAAAAACTCCTTTGTAAGAAACAAATCCATCATTAAGGTGTTTTACCTTTAAACTGTCACTTCTGGTCAAAATATGAGTCCAAAATCTATAATAAGTGATCAGGTCCATTCCCTGTTGTCCTTTCACATCAAAATCCACATATTTGTTTAGAACTGCTTTAGCCTGTTTTTAAACTCTGCTTGATCTGTGAATACTGAGACGAGATTACTTTTTCCACTGGAAAAGGCCATATTATGGATAGAGGGCTCATATTTTATTAAGGTAAAAACTTCTGAATGTATGATTTGTTTCTTACAAACATGAAGATTTTCACTTCAAAAGATGTTCATTTATGGACTGGAGTCTTGTGGATTACGTGTGGATTATTGTGATGTTTTTGTCAGCTGTATTCTCATTCTGATGGCACCCATTCACTGTAGAGGATCCATTGGTGAGCAAGTGATGGAATGCTAAATTTCTCCAAATCTGTTCCGATGAAGAAACAAACTCCTCTACATCATCATGGATGACCTGAGGGTGACTACATTTTCAAGAAGTTTTCATTTTTGTGTGAACTATTACTTTAATGGACTTAATTTTAACAGAGGAAACCCCACATTAGTGACAGAATTATATTGCAATGACACACATTCAGTAACGTCGGATGGTGTGTGGCAGTCATGTGGCATGTGAAGAATCGTTAATCAGTGTGTCTGTTTATGGAGACACACTTAATGCCAAGTGACGCCTAAAAATAAATGGCCCACAACAGCTTGTCAGTCTAAACACTAGCTGAATAGCTGAACATGGAGGACAGCCAGCCAAGTCCTTGTCTTCAAAACTATGAAGAATGCATTCACGCTCTTCAGCATACTGTTAATCTGAGCTTTGAGATGACTCTATTTTGTCCTCTGTAATTCTTTTCAGCCAGATTTTTTCTTTCATATTCCAGTGGTACGGCTCCACTTGCATTTGCATTTTCTTCCTCTTCTTCTCCATTGTTCTCTCTCTTGGACTTTGAACTCTCAAACTACTTAAAGGCATAGTTAAATCGAAAAGAGAAAATCTGCTGAAAATGTAAGCTAAACTAACTCATCCAAGCTGTAGATGAGTTAGTTTTCTTCATTGGAACAGATTTGGAGAATTTTAGCATTACATCACTTGCTCACCAGTGGATCCTCTGCTGTGAATGGGTGCCGTCAGAATGAGAGTCCAAACAACTGAAAAAGCATCACAATAATCCACAAGAAATCCACACAACTCCAATCCATAGATTAGCATCTTGTGATAAAATGAAAAACTCCTTTGTAAGAAACAAATCCATCATTAAGGTGTTTTACCTTTAAACTGTCACTTCTGGTCAAAATATGAGTCCAAAATCTATAATAAGTGATCAGGTCCATTCCCTGTTGTCCTTTCACATCAAAATCCACATATTTGTTTAGAACTGCTTTAGCCTGTTTTTAAACTCTGCTTGATCTGTGAATACTGAGACTAGATTACTTTTTCCACTGGAAAAGGCCATATTATGGCTAGAGGGCTCATATTTTATTAAGGTAAAAACTTCTGAATGTATGATTTGTTTCTTACAAACATGAAGATTTTCACTTCAAAAGATGTTCATTTATGGACTGGAGTCTTGTGGATTACGTGTGGATTATTGTGATGTTTTTGTCAGATGTATTCTCATTCTGATGGCACCCATTCACTGTAGAGGATCCATTGGTGAGCAAGTGATGGAATGCTAAATTTCTCCAAATCTGTTCCGATGAAGAAACAAACTCCTCTACATCATCATGGATGACCTGAGGGTGACTACATTTTCAAGAAGTTTTCATTTTTGTGTGAACTATTACTTTAATGGACTTAATTTTAACAGAGGAAACCCCACATTAGTGACAGAATTATATTGCAATGACACACATTCAGTAACGTCGGATGGTGTGTGGCAGTCATGTGGCATGTGAAGAATCGTTAATCAGTGTGTCTGTTTATGGAGACACACTTAATGCCAAGTGACGCCTAAAAATAAATGGCCCACAACAGCTTGTCAGTCTAAACACTAGCTGAATAGCTGAACATGGAGGACAGCCAGCCAAGTCCTTGTCTTCAAAACTATGAAGAATGCATTCACGCTCTTCAGCATACTGTTAATCTGAGCTTTGAGATGACTCTATTTTGTCCTCTGTAATTCTTTTCAGCCAGATTTTTTCTTTCATATTCCAGTGGTACGGCTCCACTTGCATTTGCATTTTCTTCCTCTTCTTCTCCATTGTTCTCTCTCTATCTATACATATGAATAAGTGTCTGTCTTCTGTATAGATTTATGGACATGAATTTCAATATATCTCTGCAAACTGTGTATAGACAGTGATTAAGGATCTTTGGTGGATTTTATTCTGGTAGTTCTGACATGTTTAGCTAGTCTTAGTGATGTATTCTTGCATTGGTTTTCATTTGTTTTCTCCATGAATATGAGTCTCTGCTGTTTTGCAGGTTTTGAGCAATGCACGCCTGTTCTTGGAAAACCTTCTCAGGTATGAACAAATACAGTATGCATAAATTTTCTTGTGAAACAGCCAAAGCACACAGTTTGAAAGTTTAAAGTCTGGAAAAAATTAAAATTCACTATCTATTGAATGATTCAGCCATGCATGTTTTATTTATTTATTTATTTTTAATTTGACCTTTTTTAAAACACACTGTCTCAACTCAGTCTCCTCTCTGGTCACATATGCTGGACTTCTCCATTCATTTAGTTCACTTAAAACCCACCCCTCTCTTACAATTGACTGCAAGCTCACATTCAGATCTTCCTCCATCCAATCAAAAACCGATAGATTGAACCAAGTCCCTAGCTTACATTTTTTCTTTTTTGCTAATCTTTCACTTGCATGTACGTCACAATATGGAAGAAAAGGTATGTTGCTACTTCCATTTAATGAAATTTAAAATGGGAGATTTGTGGCTTTTGGTACTATTATTTTCTTAAAATTGGCGATTATCAATACACATACTTGAAATGTGCAGTTATTCTGTTTGCTAGAAAACTGAACAAAATATTGATGACTCGTCTTGCACAAAAGGGCATATTCAAATCAAATAGTCAAATATCAATTTAATAAATGTATTAAACTTTATAAATTAAATTTTATAAAATTATATACATATATTCTTCCTATGTATATGTAGAAAGGTTCTTTTCTTTCTTTTCTCCACTGTGTCTGGTGGGCAAAAAAATAAACTTTTGTATTAATTCTTCTGTCATACGTTGCTCTGGAGTTCAAAGTGTCTCCGAGAATAGGAACAGCAGTCCTCAAACGTTCTCAAACAACGACCTTTATCTCAAGCATCCCCATTGAGCAGGCGTCGAATGAACACAAAAGTGTTAAAACACATTCTCTGCAGTTCGTCTCTCTCTATGTTTTGAGTGTCATGCCGATGAAGATGAGTCTATAGGGTTTGTTTGATAAGTGTACAGGCCTTCCTCTCCCTGAGTGGAATGAAACACTAAACCCCATGCTGGGAGAACCATATGCTGTCATCATGTTGCACACTGCTGCTTGCAGACAGTATGTATACAGCTGCCCACAGAAACTGCCGCAAATAGTCAGTGGTTTAGAACAAGAGACCAGTAGAGGAAAAGAAACATGTTGTGTCCTATGTGTAATCATTTATAAATATTTAGACATTTAAAGGTTTGGGAAACATTTCTGGTTTGTGTGTCGTAGGTATGGCATTTTGGTGGACCCCATTCAAGTGGTGTCATTGTTCCTCAAGGACCCTTATAGCTGGCCTGCTGCATGCCTGGTCATTGGTATGTATTTTAAGGGAAGATTAGCATATATTTCCCAGATTAGCCTATTCTTTTGTAGTCCAGACAGGGAAACTATTAAAATTAGGTGGGCAGACAACACTCCCACATTCAAATAATGCAAAAAAAATTTGATTTGCAGATTGTCAAAATACTTCACTCCCATTGTTAATCTACTTAGATGTAGATTGTGTGTATAATTTTGCATGTTATCAAAAACAGAGAAGTATGTAATTGCTTTTTAACCCTCAATCATTATAGTGCGGCGGGCGATTGTGTCTTGTTTGTAGCAGGTGGTGTGATTGTTCAATGTATGACTGCTGTGAGTGTGTTTATGTGTGTGCTGGCTGTCTGCCCTGTTGTAAGGTTCATCCTGAGGGTACAATTTTGACCCTCTTCTGTTTCACTACACCCTGCAAAAATGCTTTTATTACTGAAACTGCTTTTTTTTTTTAAAGAAGATAATATTTGACATTATAACAACTCTTTGCTTACAGTTTCTAATGTTTTTATATTTGTGGCGTTGTACACCGAGAGAAAACTAGCCATGGTGAGTTCAAAAGCCATTTACATTTATACATTTAATCAGTTTATCATAATGAATAAAGCCATTGTCATAAAAAATATAGTGGTTCAGTCACTTTACACAGTATAATTTGGCATTTGGAATTACGTTGTGGAGTTGTGAAGAGGTCAATTTAAAAGGCAAATTTGATTCATTGCATTTTAAAAAGCCTGGCATATTTGAGAGGGCTTGCAAAGTATCGGCACATTTACTCAACTAACTGAATTGAAACTGAATGAACTTATAAAGAGTTCAGGCATTTTGCTGATGTTGTGTAAGACTTGCATAAAAAATAAAGTGTAGGGCTTTTAGAGAGGAGATGCATTTTTATGTGCAGCAAATGCGAATTGTTATGTTATAATGTTGTTTGTATTGTACGTGTACTTGTATTGTGCCGTTAAATGTTTCCTCATTGTGTTTTCCAGGGGTCGATCAGTGAGAAGGTCGGCCTGCTGATCTACATCTTTAATTTAACAGTCATCTTGTGTTTTCCGATGGTGGTTGTGTTGAAGCTGCCATCTATTACACCAGGTGAGACTGCATTATGTGTACACTTTTAATAGTACATTGTGTACACAATACAACATGTACACAAACACGCATATAAATGAGATTTAATTTTCAGTACTGTAAAAAAAAAAATTTAAATGATGAATAAATACTTGAAATTCAATTGTGTCATTTTAAAATGATTGATTGTAGTTTTTTTATTTAACAAAAAATAGTGTATAATTTAAATATCAGCAATTTATTGGTTACTGGACAAAACAAAAATTATTTAATTACTAACAAATTATATATATATATAAATAAAAATGTAATATAAAATGTGATTTTTTTCAATTATTAAGTTTTTAAATATTACATATTAGAGTTTTAAAGAAATGTAATATGAGTGCATCCCTAATGTCATACTTGTTTTTCTAGGCCATCATCAGCACACAAAAAAAGAAGCTTTGTTTGTTGTTGCATTAATGTTGACTGTAATATGTCATGTTATTAGGTGATCCAGCTTTGCAGAAATAATTGGGCACCAAATTATGATTTACAAACTGAACTAATCCACCGTTATACAAGCATTCAGATCTCATGGGCTCAGTTGGCATGTGAATTGTGTTTTTATTCAGTAAACAAATCCTTGGATTAGAGCCACAGCCTAATGGTTATCAGTGGTTCTCAAGCAGTAGATGCAGGTTTGAGTCTGACCCTCATTGTGTCCTTATTAGTGATAGATTGATATATTTAGCCATTTCAAATATTGAAATCTAAATTCAGTGATGATGCATTTTATTAGAAAATATATTCCCTCACTTCCTCTTCCCCATACTACAACTTTCACTGGCTCTTCTGTCCGCTCTCATCTGTTTGCACCATGGGAGGCGAAAATGTGCCTCCATCTGTCAGCCTAGTACCGCGCACACTGCTCCTGTACCAGACAGCCAGGTCATTTCAGGGGCCGTCAGGGCCTACAGCCCTTGAGTCCATCTCTCTAGAGCATAGACGCACTCCAGAGCCCCTGCATGGACCATTTCCACCCAACATATGGTTGCTATTGATAAAGCAGTGGTAGAGGGAGAAGGTGTGAGCCAGGTCTGTGTACGCTACAGTGGTGATGAGCTATGAGTCTGGACGTGCTGGGTCATGTGACTGAGTTATGAACCTGTGAAAGGGGGAATGCTGTGGTGTTGTGATGGAAGTGTACAAACGTCTTGTGTTCCTCCTATATTCGGGTATTAAAAGAAAGAAACAAGTTCTATTTATGTTGAATAAGTCTATCTAATGGCATCTCTCTGTCATTGTGTCCTTTTATGCAGTTGGAGGGGCATTTGCTTTGGGAGTCTACACCATCCTGTTTTTGAAACTGTACTCATATAAGGATGTTAATAGGTGGTGCAGAGAGAGAACACAAGTGAAGGCCCGCAGCCTTTCCAGATCTCTTTCATGTGAGTAAATACATCCACCTCTCATCAAACATTACGTGTAGCAGTATGAAGGGTATGAAATGCGTATATATTTATAGTTCAGTATATGTACTGTAGTGCATTATATGTCCAAAACTGAGATGTCATATTTGTCGCCCCCGTTGGCTATTATAAGACGAGTATACAATAAACACAATGCTGCAATACAGACTTTGATCTGGCCCTGGTACAGTAATTAGGGAGCCCCATCCATAAAAATTGTTTCTGGGCCATGTGAATTTTAGCAACGATCCTGCTACAATGAATGATTTCCAGTTTGTACTGAAAAAGGCAGATGAAAATGTTATGTTAATGTTTGTTAATACATAAACTAAAGTTTAAGAGGTTGTTCATAAGTTATACAGTCCCATCAGGATTTCATAGGATTGTTTTTCAGATATTTGAAGCCCAAAATAACTGAATTATCTGTACCCCTTTTTATCCAAAATTTTAGTATTTGCAGCAATTTTTGTGTGTTGTTTTGCAGTGAAAAGCTACCAATGATCCTTTTGTGTTTATGTAATAAAATGTAAAAAAGGCAATTAGTGACCCCGTATAAAAATCTTCATAATTATGTAGAATAGTGTTAGACACAGGTTAAAGGTGCCATAGAATGGAGAACTGTATTTACCTTGGCATAGTTGAATAATAACAGTTATGTACATGGAAATGACATACCGTGAGCCTCAAACACCATTGATTCCTCCTTATGTAAATCTCGTGCATGCAAAAGACCACTGAAAAATAGGCGAATCAGAACATAACACCGACTGTGATGTTATAGTCGGGATCACTAATAGTTACGCCCCCAACATTTGCATATACCCGCCCATGTTCTGTGCCAGCAGAACCTGCACAGCCGAATCATCAGAAGTTCTGCAGGTATTGTGAAGAGACAAGCGAGGATAATAGCGAAATAAATTATGTTCTAGGCTGTGCAGGGGATGTGATGTGCAGGAATGGGTTGGTGTCTGTATTCAGAAAGTCACGGAAAACAAATAACGCGTTCTAATAAAATAATGCGAGCCACTAAAGGGACATGTTAGCTGCTTGCTAGCGGTAGCCTGTTACATAAGATTTACAAAGTAAAGAGAGATGACTAAGGATGATGGCGAATGATTTACAGATCCTGAGCACCACTGACAAGCATCTGATCTTGTAAAATGTGTGGTAAGTACACCGATCACGTGCGATCGCAAATCTTGAAAGTGAATGTAAAAAGCCATCGTGTATTCGAAAGCAGTTTTAATGCCCCGCATATTAATAGCGGCTGCCTGATGCCCACATTTTATATACAGTTTAATTACCCAACGATATAACTGCGAGAGACCGTATTGAAATATTTTTCCTGCTTTTCCTTCCTGCTGTGTGAACTACTGAAATGAGCGGCACTGTGAAACAGCCAATCAGAGCAGAGCTCAACATTATTATTCATGACCCTTCTAAATAAGGTAAAAACAGACCATTTCATTCTAGGGACAAATCCTAGGGTTGTAAATGGACATGTAAAACCGTTTCTGGAGATTTTTTGTCCTTAACTAAGCCACATACCTTATATGTCGATATCGGAGAACAATTTAAAATATTGTATCAATGCATTCTATGGCACCTTTAACATTTTTGCAGAAATAAGACAACGATGCAAGCTCGTTCACCCAAAAATGAAAATCCTGTCATCATTTACTCACCCTCACGTTGTTCCAAACCTCTGAGTTTCTTTCTTGAAGAATGTTGGTAACCGAACAATTGACATTAGCCATTGACTTCCAAATGGGAAAAAAAATCTCTATGGAAGTCAATGACTACCGTAAACAGTTTAGTTACCAACATTCTTCAAAATATCATCTTTTATGTTCCACAAAAAAAAGGGCATACCGATTTGGAATGACACGAAGGTGAGTAAATGATGGACAGCCAATCAGAGCAGAGCTCAACATTATTATTCATGACCCTTCTAAATAAGGTAAAAACAGACCATTTCATTCTAGGGACAAATCCTAGGGTTGTAAATGGACATGTAAAACCGTTTCTGGAGATTTTTTGTCCTTAACTAAGCCACATACCTTATATGTCGATATCGGAGAACAATTTAAAATATTGTATCAATGCATTCTATGGCACCTTTAACATTTTTGCAGAAATAAGACAACGATGCAAGCTCGTTCACCCAAAAATGAAAATCCTGTCATCATTTACTCACCCTCACGTTGTTCCAAACCTCTGAGTTTCTTTCTTGAAGAATGTTGGTAACCGAACAATTGACATTAGCCATTGACTTCCAAATGGGAAAAAAAATCTCTATGGAAGTCAATGACTACCGTAAACAGTTTAGTTACCAACATTCTTCAAAATATCATCTTTTATGTTCCACAAAAAAAAGGGCATACCGATTTGGAATGACACGAAGGTGAGTAAATGATGGCAGTTCATTTTTGGGTGGACTGTCCCTTTAATTCTTGTTATTGCAAGACTGCAAAATCCTGGAGGGACTGGTTATGAGATCAATTTTAATATAATTGTTTTAATGATGTCCTTGGTGTTTGGTCGACAGTTCAATATGTTTTGCAGTGAATGCTTGTGTGAGTTGCAGAGACCTCATTCTTTATCTGAACATCCAGTTTAAATGACTTCAGAAGCAGATTTGTTTATCTCTTGACAGTTTCTGTGTTCTTTAGGTCCATCATCTCCATCTGTGTCCAGCCGTATGCAGTCGCATGTGTCTTACCCAGGAAATCTCTCTCTCAGGGGTGAGCTGTGCCTTACAGTCTAGTCACCAAATGTTTTACTTTCATGATATTTTAACAGTGTCAAATACTATGACTTCAGATGACCGGAGAACTTGTAGTTAGTATTTTGCCTTGTGTTTTTCAGATATGTATTATTTTGTTTTTGCTCCAACCCTGTGCTATGAGCTCAATTTTCCCCGCTCTGAATCCATCCGAATGGGATTTCTGCTCAGGAGGCTCTTTGAGATGGTAGGCAATTGGCATAGACCTATTTCCTGACAGTATTGGCAGTTCTTGCTCTTCATTACAGTTCTTCATTACATTGATAAGTTGTACTACCAGATTGTTTTCACTGTATATTATGCCTTGTTTATTTTGTGAATATTGCATTCTTGTCTAAATCTGCAAATGGCAATAAATCATGGGAATTAGCTCATTGTTTGCAAACAACTGCCGGGAGCCATGGCAGGAATGTATGAGGGTTATTTTTATTTATGAAAGTGCTTCTTGTTAGGGCATTACTTCCAGTTATAACTGTTGCAAATTACACATTTAATTCACACACACACACACACACACTCTTCTGTAAACAGAATTGTTAACGTTTTCGTTTTATATTTTGTGAGAAATCAAAAGTTTTGCTTGTCTTGCAGTTGCTCCTCACCCAGTTATTGGTTGGTTTAACGCAGCAGGTGAGCATCACAGTGCATTTGGTAATCACATCACACCTGCGGTTTTCATGTCATATTTCATATCTAATGTTCTTTCAGTGGATGGTGCCAATCATTCGAAGTTCAATGAAGCCATTGCAGGTTTGTTCAAGTGCTTTATCTTCTTTTGTTTTTTCCAGTCCGTTAAAAAGAAGCGCTTTTATTTAATTCTGTGAAACCGGTTTTCATTTTGCAGGAAATGGACTACAGTAGAATGACAGAGCGTCTGCTTAGACTAGCAGTAAGTTAAACCAACTACACTAAATTCCTCCTCAGAATAGAAACATAAACCTGTGTTCAGATTTTCACTTAGATCTGTTGTTTTGATGGAGAATATGAAGCAAGAAACGAATGATGGAATAAACTGATATCTATTTTTATACTAGGTGCCCAACCATCTCATCTGGCTGATTTTCTTCTACTGTTTTTTCCATTCCTCAATGAACTTTGTGGCTGAGCTATTGAGGTTTGGAGATCGGGAATTCTACCGTGACTGGTGGTGAGAGAGCTTTACAGTTATTTCTCTTAAAAATAAAAAAAAATGCTTTATTTGAGCAGCTAGAGGTACCACTTTCACACCATACTGCGTTTGATAGGCTTTAAATGCAGTCAGTCTGGTTTATATGTGCCATCTCTGCCTCTTCCATTTCATATGTAGAGTTTTTATTTTAAGTCTCAGATGGATTGTGACACTGTGTTTCTTTTAGGAACTCCGAGACAATAACGTACTTCTGGCAAAACTGGAATATTCCCGTGCACAAGTGGTGTCTCCGGTGAGTGAACGGAGGTTTTGAAAGAGACCGCAGACAGCTGTTGGGAGGCGAGATGAAATACGACACCGTAAAACTCACAGAGACTATAATGAAGAGAGACTATAATGTGATCTGTCCGCGAGAAATATATGGTTATTTACAGTTCACACTGACTGTGAGTTTATGTGCTTCTCTCTCCTGTTTTCAAAGGCACTTTTACAAGCCGCTGCTGAGAATAGGTGCTGGCAAGTTACTGAGCCAATCAGCTGTGTTTTTCGCCTCTGCTTTTTTCCACGAGGTGAGATGTGCATAAATAACATGCTGTTTTAAATATTCTGTCGGGTCATGGCAAATGAAAGTTAACAGTCTGAGCAGCATAACGACCTGTGTGAATTATTCTCATTTTAGAAATGTGCTATTTCTCACGAGCAATAGCAAACCACTGCGATATTCTAAGCTAGTGTGTTTACATACAGAATATTACTTTGGTTTACTATTAATACCATTAAAATACTCAAAAGCATAAACTAACAAAATGTGAATGTTATGCTGGTTGAAAGTCTCTTCACATCCCGATAGCAATCACTAAGTTAAGTGGTCTAAATTTATATGTATTTATATCGTCTGTAGAAGACGTAGGACCATAAAATGTTCGTCCAATCAAAATCTTCGGTCCGAAGATTAAATTAGGCTATCCTACCTGCCTGTCATGTATTTGCATACCTCCGTGCACCCTGTTCACACAGACATGATACGTCATCAGTGCATTCCATTACACTATTGCAGACCGAGCAAGAATGGAAGGTGTTGTTATTGTAATATAATGTGTTTTGTACTCTGTTTTCTCACCGATGAATGAGATATGAGGTAATCTGACAATGTTGCATTCAATCCTCCACCAACGCCGTCTCTCATCGTGTCGCTGGTTAGCCTCTGGTCTGCCTGTGCACGTTCTTGTGTTTTATAGGAGGCGTGGCTGAATTTTGTGTGATTATGCAGGGGTGGGATCTTGCTTTCAAAGCTAGCTTGCGATTGCTAGCCTTTTCCGAAATCGCCTACCCTACCTTTAAACGGGTCATATGATGCTGCTAAAAAGAACATTATTTTATGTATTTGGTGTAATGAAATGTTTATGCGGTTTAAGGTTAAAAAAACACATTATTTTCCACATACTGTACATTATTGTTTCTCCTTTATACCCCGCCTTTCTGAAACGCGTAAATTTTTACAAGCTCATTGGTCTGAAAAGCGAGGTGTGCTCTGATTAGCCAGCTATCCAGTGCGTTGTGATTGGCCGAATACCTCAAGTGTGTGAAGGAAATGTTACGCCCCTCACTGTACTGTGATGCCCTGTGTGGCCAGAGCGACGAGACAAAAACATTAAAACCCATTATAGACGAGCATTTGTTGCATCCAGTGGGGACATAATTACGGATAATGACTTATACTGTATTTTTACGAGTTGCGTTGCATCGCATTGTGTCTGCATTTGTGATCGGAGAAATGACAAACAACAAGTGCTACTCTACACTGCCCAAAACACGCGTTTGAATCATCGGTGGCAAATTCTTTAAATATAAAAAACATACTTGCAGTCTGTGAGTCAGAACAGCCGGCATTGTAGTCTAATCTCCCAGGAAACAATCCTCTATAAAATGTGCAGCACACACATGAATGAATATTTGGGTTGAACTGTTCTGGAACAATGTTGTAAATACAACTTAACCACTGATTTTTAGTCGTGTCCTCTTTTGGAAGGCCAAACAAAGTAGTTTTGCTTTCACAACGAAACACGGCGTCACACACGGTGGGCTAGAGTGAGCGGCGGCCGGTGGCTAGAGTGAGGAACGGCCGGCAGGATGAGTGAGCAAAGGCCGGCGTGCTGAGTGAGCAAAGGCTGGTGGGCTTGAGAATGGCGCGGCCGGCGGATTCGATGAAGGAGCGGCAGGCGGGCTTGCGGCAACCACAACCATGTGATGAGTGCTGGACTCCGGTGACCACTGTGACGACTGCTTCGACTGCATGACGAAGCGGATATCGTCCTCTTTTGGAAGGCCAAACAAAGTAGTTCGCTTTCACAATGAAACACAGCATCTTCACGACATGGAGGCGGCGGCAACAACAATAATACAACGAGAATAAAAGTTACGCCTTCTTTCTTTGCGTGAACATTTGGGCGGCGTTATTCAAATCTTCCCACATCGTGACGTAGATATGTGGGGGCATGTTGGAACGAGTCGTTTTAGGTAGGTGTGGCTGACTCTTAACTTTTATAAAGAATATCTCTTTGGATTTGAGACTTTAGTCTTTGCAACTTTACAGATTTTTTTATGCACCAAGAGCTTGTAACACTTCAAAGAGAAAGAAAAAATTTTAATCGCATCATATGATCCCTTTAATAACAGTTAAATATAATCTTTAGCAAATTTAAAAAAACATTTAAAAATCTAAATTAAGTTGTAGCATTTAAAACAATTGATTTTAGTTTTTTTAGGGCTGTCAAATGATTAATCACATCCAAAATAAAAATGTTTACATAATAAATGTGTGTGTACTGTGTATATTTATGCATAAATGCATACACATGCATTTAAAAAAATTTATATTTATATATAAATTCTCTCTCTCTCTATACAGGTGCATCTCAATAAATTAGAATGTCGTGGAAAAGTTCATTTATTTCAGTAATTCAACTCAAATTGTGAAACTCGTGTATTAAATAAATTCAATGCACACAGACTGAAGTAGTTTAAGTCTTTGGTTCTTTTAATTGTGATTTGGCTCACATTTAACAAAAACCCACCAATTCACTATCTCAACAAATTAGAATATGGTGACATGCCAATCAGCTAATCAACTCAAAACACCTGCAAAGGTTTCTTCCTTACTGAATATTAATTTCTTTAAAAAAAAAAAAAAAAAGTACTGACCCAAAAGTTTTGAATGATAGTA